ATGTGGGATGTTCTAGTTTTAGGGAAATGCGAAGATTAGCTCAGGACAGGAAAGAATGGATGTACCAGTCCAGCCAGTCTTGCGACTGACGACCCTATGACGATAAAACAACTTATACAATTTAAACAAGATCCTTCAGTAGAGAATGTAATAAAAGACAGTCACAAATCTACACTAATACTACCTACAAAGGAAACCAATTGTCCAACGTAAATGGACAAGCGCTGCTATAAGGGTAACAGTAAGTTAATATAAATGCTTTCTATAGAAAAGTTGTAGAGCTTAAAAGATCCAGAAAATTATTACATTTTTCTTAATGACACCGATTAGGTAGACACAATAATCAAATGGTTAAATAAATAACCAGTCGAAGTATCAGTTTTGTGTTAGATACTGCCCCAAAAGTCTTCCCCGAAAACATTTTTACCATTTTGACTCCTTCCAATGTACCAAATGTGCATAAACGTTAATTTAATAACTCGGTCAATTGCCGACGAACGACGACTAATCACTTAGGCACTGCAAGAAGCGTATCAATTATTAGAAACTCTCATTCGTCCGAGTATCCGATACAATTAATTTTTTCTACTTGTAAAAAAATTACATTACATCCGGAGCTAATCATATTAATACATAAAAGTATATGCTGATTGAACAACGACGACATCAGCTCCTCTATCTTCATCATCCACTTTCCCTAAACGCTTTGTCCTGGACTGCTGATACGGTCACTTTCCCTGATGCTTTTGCAGGGAGTGAAAGTCGAAATAGATACAAAAGTCGTAAAATGTACGGCGAGCGACAGACAGGGCAATTAGACAATTATTGCCGTTGTCTTGTTGCTGCTACTACGTACAGAAAAATAAGACCGTCGAAAAAGAGAGTGAAAAACAGACGCGTACACGTCCGTCCGTCCGTCCATCAGAAAACCGACACGAAAAATGCCTTGTGCCAATGCATGTGTTCATTATGCACGGGTGCGCACCTTCTTCTTCTGCTCGAAATGGTTAGCGACGCGGAAAATTTCCTTATTTTCACGACGGCCACGTTGCCACATCCTGTCCGCAAATGATAACGTCGTATTTACCAACCACAATCATCAAATAGATAGTCAATCAAAAAAAAAAATCGGTTGCCTGTAAAGTCGGTTTACTGACGATAGTTGAACGTGACAACGTCATAAGAAAATACTGATGGAATGGTTTAATTTTTAAAAAGAAAATTTTAATTTTATTTGTTTGATAGATATTTTGTATGGATATAGAGAAGGAGGTAAATGGAAATGTATTATTGTATAGCAGCTGTCCACGCGGACGCATCGCTCACTCAAGTAGGAGAGAGACAGATGTCGAACGCTGCCGAACGCGGAGGCCGATTGTGCCTCTTTGTCGCTCGTTCCGCGCTCTCGCTTGCACTTCAAGCCTTAAATGGAACGCCTCAGAGCGAGGTAACGCCGCATGAGTCATGTTTTTTCGTGCGTCCATCGAATTATAAGACGTTGTCACGTCAAAAACAAAAATGCAACCGCGGTTCAAAATTTCAATAGTAGCTGAAAACGATTCCACTACTACTAAAACATCCCATAATTGTCACCATCTGACATTAAAGTAGCATAATTTTATCCCATTTATTAATCCCAAGATAAGTAAGAAAATTTTAGACAAGCTATTGTGTTGACAATGTTGGAATTGCGATCACAAATTATGATTTTAGCCTATTTATTAATAATCAAAATCAAGATAAAGAATTTAATTTTAACCCGAAGATTCGACCCATCTTTCAATATGTGAGGTGCAGTGACCAATGCATGGTATCATTTTAGCCTATAGGTGTTGCCCTCTAATTGTAAAGCCTACACGAAAAGTATTAGAAGTTTGAACTTATGTGTCAATGGAAATTGTTAGAATTGGTGACCAATTAATGGTATCACTATGATCTGTTTACTATCCTTTAATAATATAAGGAGAAGTGACATCTTCATGTCATGATCGAACATGTTCTCAAATGTGTGTTATTAAGGAATGAGGTATTCTGTATTCTGAACTGATCATTGGAGAATCTGATAGAAGGAGAAATACAAGATGTTGATGTATTTCTCTTGCAGCATTTCGTTGATTTGAGGTTTAATTAGCCAAACTTTTCAGGTAAATGTAAATCGTGAAAACGCAGGACTAACCAGTGTTTCTACGATTAACATTTACCTAAAGAGGTTGGCAGACTAATCCAATGAGATTACGTAAAAGAAAAATACGTCCACATCTTGTATTTATTCTTCTGCCTGGTACTCCATTGATGCGATGAGAATTCAGCAAAGTCCAACAGAAGTGATATGATTTTAGCCCTAAAATTCGACAATTTTCGCTAAATATGGCGGCTAACATTATTGGTACAATTATATCCTTTAATCAAAAACCAAAATTTTAATTTCTAGTACATCGAAATTTGCTAGAATAATTGCATTATCAGTTTGAGTTTGTGAGCAATTGTTACATACAAATCCGAACAATTTTCAATGTTTCAGTCTTAAAACTGCGCTGGACATTTTCATCAAAAACCTTCATAACGATCATCCACCCATGTGTGTACTTTTTCCAATTTTTAACTTATCGGAAATTGATACAATATATCAAATAAGTTATTAATGGTTGCCGTTCGGCAACATGGTGCATGGCGACTTCCGATAGATAAGAGATCGGATGTCATGGAAAGAATCGTTTTTAATTGCATATCGATTTTTGCATCTTGGAAGGATGGGCAATTAACGCTATACGTCAACTGCAAGCACTTTTAAAATTATCGCAAACTGTATACTACACAACAAGAGTCCGTGACACCTTTTTGAACCAATGGCAAATCCAAAAAAAAGTTACTCGGTTTTTACCAGAAAATTAAAGAGGATTAGGTTAACCACGTTGTATAGATTATTTTACATCTATTGGATTTCATAAAATTCTAATATGTATATAATCGTATAGTAATCAATACCCAACGAAGCCTAACAAAACCATCCACAGTACAGTACATCAGGATCGGTTTTCATACAAAATCCTACGAAATGTTTAATTTTTTTACTCATTGGATTAGCATCCGACAAATAGGACTTAATGATAGTGTTAAATAAAATGGAAGAGGTACTGACAAAACACTATGAATAGTAGAACAGAGATGTCAATAAGAAATAGGCAATATAGATAGGATAGGAAACCATTTTAGGCATGAAGGGCTAGTTAGTGACATATTAGAAGTAGAAGCAGGAGATAAAAGGAGTAGATAGACCTAGCTTAGATTAATCATCATCATAAGATCACCAGTTCCAAGACTGGTTGGAGACACACTTCCACTCCTTCCTATCCTGAGCTAATCTTCGCATTTCCCCAAAACTAGAACAACCCACATCCTTAACTATAGGGTTGTTCGGAAAGTCATTTCGTTTTTTTCTGTGGAAATGAAAGACAGTTTTCGTATAATAAACAAATACTTTATTAAATTATATATTGACCGTTCTGGTCCAACACCTTTTGCCATCTTTCTGGTAGTAGCATAATTCCACGCTCATAAAATTTTTGGTCTTTGCTGGCAAAAAACTGATCGAGGAGGTTTTTGACCTCCTCATTTGAGGTGAAGGTTTTACCGTCTAAAAAATTTTGGAGTGACCGGAACAAATAATAATCCGATGGTGCCAGGTCTGGAGAATATTGTGGGTGTAGCATTGTATCCCATTCAAGCTGTAAAAGCTTTTGGCGAGTGACCAAACTTGTGTGAGGTCTCGCGTTGTCTTGGTGAAACACTACACCTTTCCTGTTGATTAGTTGTGACCTTTTCTGTTGAAATGCATCATTCAGTTTGTCCAGCTGATGACAGTAGACTTCCGAATTAATCGTTGTGTTATCCGGTAAAAGCTCAAAAAAACCATTCCTTTAAAATCCCACCAAACAGACAGCATCACCTTTTTTTGGTGAATACTGGCTTTGGAAATGGTTTGAGTCGGTTCATCTTTTTTGCTCCATGACCTCTTGCGTTTGACGTTGTTGTATACAACCCATTTTTCGTCCCCAGTGATGATGCGCTTCAGAAACGGATCATTTTCGTGACGTTTGAGAAGCGAATCGCAGACGTCAATGCGACGACACAGATTTCTCTCTGTGAGAACATGGGGAACCCATACATCGAGCTTCGAGGATAATCCCAGGCCTTTCAAGTGGTCATAAACTGTTGAATTTGATATTATACGACTTAAATGTGAAGTTGGGTGCAAAAGAATACAATTAAATCCTTTGTCGGGAAAAAACGAAATGACTTTCCGAACAACCCTATATTTGCAAACAGTAATCTAATCCAGCTTAGGATAGGATATGAAACACCAAAGGTGCGTGTCCAACCAATCTAAGGACTGACGACCCTGTAATAATGGCACTGGACCAGGAGAGTTCTCATCTCCTTACAAAATAAATGAGAAAATGAGAAAATATACCGAGTGTACGGAAACTAGAGCGACTATCAATTTTCTGAACTTCATATACGGTCATTATATTCCCATTAGAAGTCACAAAGAGACCTTAGGTGCAAATCATAGAGCCATTGGCAAAGTGTCAACAACAATAATAACATCATTTTTAGAAGGATGTCACATCACGGTGGCCGGACGACAATTGCAAAATGTCCATTATGTAATCGCGCGATCCATATAACGTTGTTAAGAGCGAAAAACCGAATAGCGATTGTTTTTACGGCGGGTGAGAACGAAAGTGGCCTACTAGATTGAGGAATTCATTTTATTTGAGAAATTCGTTGTGAGGTACCTTTCAATATAAGAGCGCACTTCAAACCGATTTTCAGCGGTTATTAAGAAACTGCGCGACTGAAAAACAGACAGAATTGAATTCTTATTGTTAATTAAGAAAGCTGTACTCATACATACAGGGTGTCCGCAAATGCATACAGTCTAATAAATTAAACTCAAACTAACTGCTAGAAGTTTTGCTCTAAATCCTACAACTTACCACCATATTATTCGAACTCAAGAAGGAAGAAAAGGTGCATACCTGCAAAACAAAAAGAGAAAAAGGTATAAAAACCCAAAGACAAAATGAAGCACTTCATCATTATTTTAAAGCAAGTACATATATATATTTCCACCTGGCCGATTTTGACTGTTGTTGTGGAAGAAGAGACGAGAGGTTCTTCGTAACCTGTCCAGCCTCAGCCAGATTTTATATAAAACATCTGCTCCACAGCAAAACAGGTGCAAAGCTTACGCAGATGCTGGACGACCAATGCAAGCAGTTTAATTAAAAAGAAGCAAAACAAAATATTTCGATCTTATTATAGGTGGCGCATTAAAGGGCGTAATAACTAAAATACTTTTAAAAATAGACAATAAATGAAGTAGGAAGAAGTTCAAGATAGTCAGTAGAATTTCCAGATGTAAATCGCGATTTCGATTTGGTTGGAAGCGGTACCTGGGCACGGCGTTTTATGAAATCCTACAAACAGCGCCGTTACCGCCATCTGTAGTATAACGCTATATTCAGTGGAATTCAATAAGGTCTATTTACATAGAAGTATCCACTTGCTAACTGAATCCACGGAGTAGCTTATCATACGTGATAGACACGTTATCAAAATCAAACAAAGAAGTTCATGATGGTCAATATTCTAATCACGGATTAGAATTTCGATCTTTGTCCAAGGCGATACTACGTAGGGTGTGCTGACGAGATCAAATGAGATTGTAATCACCATCCGCGTTTTGTTAAAGTAATGACTAATAATTTAATCCATTCTGAGATTGTTCAATTTTCTGCACTGATCGCTGCAAATATTGCAGGTGCGTTAAACATATACATATAAATATATGTCACATGATCAGCCAATAAGAACAAAAGTACGCTAAAATAATTGGCTCTAAACGCATTTTGTTTAACGTTTGATTTAAAATGGTCAAACAATCGCAAAAAAATAAATATGGAAGAAGTATTTACAATATAATCTATTATATTTTGTTCACTAGAGTTGTGGAGAAATCGGCGCTACGTCAAATATGATCCTCTCGATCATCCTCAAATGTAAATAATTCACCTTTAATTTGACACCTTTACCAATTACTTATTAAACGTTGTAATCAAGTCCCAATTAACACAAAAACATCGAGTCAGTTTATTACTTGACCGGAAGAAGATTTTTTATTAGATGCCTGCAAGTAATTATGATTAGAAAGCAGAAGTCTGACGAATCAGCACGGTAATCAGTGAGGCGTATAGCACACCCATCAATGAAAGAAAAAACTGTATCCTACTGCAGCGTAAGCTGCGAAAAAGACCCGATACTCGCCCCGGCGTCTACTTGCAATTAGAGCTCATTGAGCATGCAATTAGTAGATCAATTTCTCGATCCGATCATTGTGTACCCCCAGGTGGGCTTAATTATTACACCTACTTAGAAAGTTGGCCTTTTTTTTAAGTTTCGCTTTTCGAAAAGCGAAAAGTCTGTTCCGTTCTCATCAAGACGGCTGGAAGTCAATACATACGATCACTTAGAATCAATATCTTTAAGGGTCGCCAATTACTGTTAACGATAAGAATATTAATTAATACGGACAGAATTTCAAATAAATCGTGTAAACGCAAATGAATTATCCAAATTAGACGATTATCTAAATCACCAATAGATCTATTGATCTAATAAATCAAATGTAAGATTTTACGAAATAATTTATATCTGTATGGTTTTTACAACACTTCAATCTGTAGGATGATGTAACTCGATTACGAGGTTTGTGGCAATATTAGTGTAGAAAATTTATTTGGAGAATACATATATGATAACTAAAGGATTATCTCCCATATGCAGTCTTCATTAGAAGTGTGAAATTTAACGAATTTATTCAAAAGATATTCGCAATACACAAGTTAGAGGATTATCTACTTCATCGTTGTATAAAATCTAATGACTTGGCGAAATAATTTATAAGGTCTTTACAACACTCCAATCAAAGGATCGTATACTTAATGATCATGAAACGGACAGAACGATTAGCCAGAAAGGTTTATAAAATTTGGACAATATAGCGACTAAAAGATTATCTGGAATATATAATCTTGATTTAAACTGTTAGATTAAACGAATATACTCTAAAGATTTCGGTAATATGCAAATTAGAGGATAATTAAAGGATTCAATATTAGATTTAGAGAAACAATTCGTGATATTGTTTGGCAATACATTAATCAAAAGTGATCATCTACTTATGAGGCCTGATTTTGGTGCTCAAAAAAATTTTAATATTTTGACAATATCCCAATGCCAGGACGATCAACTTAACGATCCTTTGGATTATAAGATTTGGGGAAATTATTCAGAAATACAGGAATGATTTTGGAACTCAAAGAAATCTTAAGATATCGATAAATACTTCAATAAAAGGATGATCTACTTAATAGTCCTTTGCAATATAAGATTTGATTATTCACAAAATCAAGGCCGGATTTTGGCACTTAAAACAATCTTAATATTTTGACAGTATCCCAATGGAAGAATGATCTACTTAACAGTCCTTTGGAGTATAAGATTACGGGAAATTATTCAGAAAATATAGATCTGATTTAGGCGCACAAAAAATCTTAAACTTTCGGCAATGTTCCAATGCAAGGATGATCTACTTAACGATCCTTTGGAGTATATGATTTGGGGAAATTATTCAAAAAATACAAGCCTGATTTTGGAGCTCAAAGAAACCTTAAAATATTGACAACACCCCAATGAACAGGTGATCTACTTAACGGTCCTTTAAAGAGTAAGATTTTCGGAAACAATTCAAAAGATTTTGGCAAACTACTACTGAAGAGCGTGAGAAAATGTCCTTAAAAGAAACGGTAGAAAAAAGTTGGATTGTAGTAAAATAAATGAAGATCGCCACTTCGAAGAATTAATACAGTTAACCAGTAACCACTCAGCTGTATTATACGACGAGACGGGAGGGATTTTATTTCACTCGCAGCCGTTTTGCTAATGAGAAGTTTTTTGGGTTAAGTAATTGCAGCAACTCTAATCGCGCGTCTACACGAGAACAGTAATTGCTAATGTAATTGTTGAACTCCGATGAACCCACAGAGCCGAAATCTTATTTTTAGAATAATAAAACTAAAACAAAAATACCGGTACGCAATCGAAGAAAAAATAGGGAAAGAGCGAATATAAAGATAAGAGACGAAAAATTAGAAGAAGTGCCTGATTTTAGGTATCTAGGAAGTCAGATAAGTCAGGTCGGAAGGAGTAGTAGGGATATAAAGCAGAGGATAACGAAGGGTAGAGTCGCCTTCAATAAAAAGAAATCACTTCTATCCTCTCGAACGGTTAACTTGGAAATTCAAAAAGGTTGTTAAAGGTGTATGTTTGGAGAGCGACGTTGTAGGGGTACGAAACATGGACGATAGGCGGTGCGGAAAAGAAAAGGTTAGAAATGTTCGAAATGTGGTGTTATAGGCGGATGATGAGGATACCGTGGATAGAGAAGGTTATAAATGAAGATATATTACAAAAAGAATAGGAGAACAGAGGACTCTATGGAAGTCAATAATAAATAGGAGAGATAGGTTAGTAGAACACCTTCTTAGGCATAAAGGTCTAGTCAGAGACATATTAGAGGCAGAAACGGGAGTTAGGAGGGATAGAGGTAGATCTAGATTAGATTACTGTTACAAATAGTTAAGGATGTGGGTTGTTCTAGTTTTAGGGAAATGTAAAGATTATCTCAGGATTGGAAGGAATGGAGGTGCGTGTCCAACCAGTCTTAGGACTGACGACTTTATGATAATAAATCTAATATACGTGATATTAGTTTTGGCGATTATAAAAATTGAACGTCAACTAAATCTAATTCCTATCAGTATGGAATATTTAGTTAAAATAAGTTTCAGACTTCCTCATATATAATCGTAAGTCCTAGGGTCATGACCTCTAGGACCCGTCCAACTCTGTTTGTTCTATAACCGCAATATGTTTTGTTTCCTAGATGGTACATTTTCTTTTGAAAAGCTACATAATTTTATGGGTCTTTTTATCGCGAAAATAATCCTTTACCTAAAAAATAACGACCACAACATATAAACAGCTAATTCTATGGCAACTTATTATATCGTCAAACATATTGAGGCACACTGACACCTGACAATGTTATGTCACAACGACAGACGTTCCAATAAACAATATTCTCTCCATTTCTGTTTCATACTTCACTATTACACTTTCTAGTTCTTTAATGATCGAGGAAGTATCATTTGCGTGAAAAAAACAATTTCAAATAACCACATAAAAGAGTAATTATACAATAGGCTGGGTGTTAGTGCGTCATTATGATCATTAAGAGGCCAGGCAATTCATTATCTTCGCGCGCAAAAAAAAGCGTGAAATGGTGTACGTATTTTATGCCTTTGTAATACGCCATTGAACATACACCTATACGTATCGTACATACACATGAAGACATTTGTAAGTGAAATGTTGTTTGTGTTGTGTACACCCAAACATACGCTAGAAGCGTTTGCCCCCTTGAGTAATTTTACGTTTTTCTTTAGTACCTTGCAGGTAACATTAATAGCCAGTAGGCTACATAATAACTAATTCCGGAAGTGCTCCAATTTAGAGATATAATAAACAATTAACATTCTATAGTTGGGACGTTTAAAATTGACATTGTCCATAATAAAACTGTTACATTTACCTTCTTCTTTCAACTTATTAACTAGACTAGAGCGACTACGTTATAGCGAATATCGTAAACATTGAAAAGAGATGTCAAGTGGGAATTGCAGCGGGCACTAACAAAGAAAAAGGAATAACATTACATCAATTAATATTTAACAGAAAGAGATGCAGACAGATAGAATTTGAGCATGTTGTCAGCGCCGGATTTTAGAACGTCTACTTTTACTTACGATAGACGTTATAGGGAATATCGTAAACATGTCAGGTATGAATTGCAGCGGACACTAATAAAGAAAGTTCAACATTCTCAGGAACTAAGGAAAGCAAAAATGCTTGTTTA